ATTATGGACAACCGTACGGACAAGGGCGGGCGGTTTTTGCAACTGCGTGCGGAGCAGGAGCTGTTTCTTAGTAGCACTACTTTCAAACACACTGGTCACCGAAGTGCCACTTGGCGTCCACCTGTAACTGAGAAGTGATGGGTGGTTCCATACTGGATTGCCGAGCGTTCTGGAATACTTGCGTCGACTCTGAGCACGCTTTCGTACGCCATCGTTTTCAATGGACTTTACCGGGAGGCGTACCGAGCGCCTCCTGCGATTGGCAACTGGAAGATTACCTCAGTCCTCACAAAAAACAAACCCATCAGGCTGCCTTGCGTACCGAACCTTCGCTCTCTCGTCCTAATGACACTGAGCATCAATGGGATAGGATTTTGGATGCCATGCACTGCATCAATCTGGATAGTCGAGAGGTGGCAAAATACAAAATACATCTTGCCAAGTATTTCACAAAGACAAATCTGTCTTCCGCATTCGCACATGTGGTTCCAGATGAAGAAACCAGTTTTCTTACTACCACTGCCACACCGTACGGTCGTTGTCGTTGGCTGCGTTTAGCGTTTGGTTTGAAAGTTTCGAGTGAAAAGGTCCAAAAACTGATGCAAGCGCTAGAAGATTTAGGTGGTGTAACATATGTGACAGACGACGTTTTGATCTCTGGAACGAGGGAAGAAGATCATGACGCTAATCTCCCTCGTTTCTCACAGCGTTATGTGCAAAAGAAAATCAGACCTAAACGCGAGAAAATTGAGCCTCGGAACGACGAGGTGATTTTCCGTGGACATGTGTTAACCAACAAAGAGATCAGGGTCGATCCAAGAAAAATTGCGCCAATTGAGAGATGCCGCCCCCTAACGACGTGAAGGGAATCCATCGTTTAAATGGCATGGTGAAATAGTTGAGGCGTTTTATGCCAAGACTCGCTGATATCATGACGGCGATCAGGAAGCTAACACACAGAAGGATAAAGTGGTGTTGGGAAAAGGAACAGGAAACCGCATTTGCAATTATTAAGCACCTTATCAGCAACGCGCATATACTCGGATATTACGATCCAGCGCAGCCATTGGAGGTAGTGTGACAGCAGCCATGACGGAATAGGTGCTGTTCTCTTACAGAAGGAGAAACCTTTGGATTTCTGCAGCCGAGCACTCACCGAGACCGAGCAGCGCTATGTGCAGATTGAGAAGGAGATACTCGCTGTAGTCTATGCCAAGGAGCGTTTCAGTTAGCATACTTTCGGAAGAAACAATTGTGTATACGGACCACAAACCGTTTGTTTCTATAGCCAGCAAACAGCTGCACATCGTTCGTCGTCATCTTCAGCGTATGCTTATCCAGCTCCAAAAATACGACGTGCATATTGTGTACACGCCTGGTGCACAGATGTTCATCGCCGACATGTTTATCTGCAGGTACCTGAGCATAATCCGGCAGAGGTCGAAGCAGTAAACCTAGTACAGGATCTGGCAGCGGCAAAAGATCGCTTAAAAGAAATAAGGCGCCACAAAGTGGAAGACACAACGTTTGCAGCTCTGGAAGACGTTAAAGTGGTTGGTCAGAAACGAAGCAGCTGCCGAAGGAATTAACACCATATTTCAATTTTCGGGATAAACTCTCCGTCTATGATGGTTTGCTGTTCAAAAAGCTGTATTCTGATCCCGTCATCCCTCTGAGGAGAAATGCTGAAATACGTTCGTCGTGCTCATCTGGGTGCCAAAAGCACCATTAACCGAGAAAGAGAATTGATCTTTTGACCAGGAATGACAGGTCAAATCAGGGATCATGTGTCGAATTGTGAGGCGTGCCGTTCACACGAAATCCGGCAGACGAAGGAAGCAATGACGCTATACGATGTCCCTGATCGGTTGAGGCAAAAGATGGCGGTGGATTTATTCAGTGACAACGAGAAAGATTACCTACATACGGTGGATTACTAGTGTGTTTATTTTGAAATCGATTTACCAACCACTACGACCACAGAAGCAGTAATCAACAAGCTCAGATGTCAATCCACGCGGCACGGTATACCGGAGGAGCTGGTCTCCGACAATGGGCCCAGTTCACCAATGCTGCGTTCCAGGTCTTCGCAACTAAGTGGGAATTCGTGCACCAGCCCATATCACAGTCCATCGCATGGAAAGCCAGGATGGGCAGCGAAGCAGGCCAAGCGTCTGTAATCAAAGGCTAGAGCTACTGGCGAAGACCCGTACCTCATGTTTCTGGAGAATCGCAACACTCCTTTAACGGATATCAGTTTGAGCCCAGCGCAGCGCCTACACAGCCGGACTAGAATTCTGGCACCGGTATCTGCCACACTTTCGCGCCCAGTTACGCTACAGCATGAGAAATGACAGAACAGTTTGAGAAGACGAATGACTACCCAGAAACGGTACTACGACCGCGGTCCACGAGTACTACCTGAGCTAACAGTAGAGGAAGAAGTGTGGCTTCAACCAACACCCGATAGTCAAGCGCGCTGGAAGAAAGGTGTGGTGACTGCGAGGGTCGGTGTCAGGTCATACAAAAGAAATGTTGGAGGGGAAACGTTCAGAAAAAATCGATTGCATTTAAGGCGACACCGGAGACAACAATGTGGTTTTGGAGTGGAGCGCCCTATGGCGTGGTGTAAGATCACGGCCACAGACACAGCGAAGACGACGCGGAGTGGCAAGGTGTACGGGGTGCATAGCAATATGAAGACGCAAGGACAGGAAAAAGGGAAGATGTGAAGGGAGTGTCATACCAGTGAACCGATGTGCCAACCGAGCGAGCCACATAGCCAATGGGAGACGGGCGTAACAGATTCGATTACTGGACACGAATTGTCCAATATGCGTGTGAGTTATTCACCGCCCGGAGCACTGAATTACAAGCTGTCTAAAGAACTCTAGAAACGGCTGAAACATCTAACCGCAGATTTAGAGCATTCAATCAAATCGACAGAACAATTATTTGAAAAACGCAAGGAATAACAATAAAAAGAGACGAGATGATGGTATCCTTTGATGTCACAGCTTTATTCACATCAATTGACACGAAAGTAGCAGGGCAAACAATGATGAGCCTACTTGAACAACACGGGGCGGCAACTACGAACAAGAGAATTGGAGTCCCACAAATGATGGGGTTGCTTGATTTGTCTCACCGCACAGTTCAGTTTCAATGGACAAACGTACAAACAGATAATGGCCACGCCAATAGGCTCACCAATCTCTGGACTGATAGCCGAGGCAGTGATGCAAACACTAGAACAAAAGGCATTGCCGATGGTGGAGCCCAAACTTTAGGTACGTTACGTGGACGATACCTTTGTCATCATCAAGCACTCCAAACTACAAGAAACACACCACCTTATCAATAATACTTTTCCCGGCATCCACTTCACCAAAGAGGACCAGCTGCCATTCTTGGGCGTGCTCGTCAAAAGACATGCTTCCGGGTCCCTGGAAACAACAGTCTATCGAAAAGCGACTCACACTGATCAGATCTTAAACTATTGCAGTAACCACCCGGCCATTTACAAACGCAATTGCATCAGGACACTTTTCAAACAGGGTCAAACACACTGTAACACGCTGCAACTGAGGAAAACGGAGGAACACCACTGATTTAACATCTTTCAGCGGAATTCGCACCCTAAGAGTTTTATTCTACGCTGCCTGATGTCGAAGAATTAACCACAACCCCCTTCCACCAGCGCAATGGAAAGGAAAACCATCGTCCTACCGTATATCCATGGGATTTCTGAAATGGCAGCGAGGCTTTTAATGCCTCACGGTATCAACATTGCACATGAAGCAACGGATATCGTCCTGAGTAAACCTTTTAGGGTAAATGACCAGCTGAGCAAAGAAGAAACATCAGGTGTGATTCACAAAATTTGCTGCAAAAACTGCGACAAGTATTACGTGGGACAGACAGGGAGGAAACTTGGTACAAGACTGCATGAACACAGTCTGGCCATCCGCCACCATGATGAAAAGTCCCTAATGTCAGTACACATAGATGCCGAAGGTCATCAGTTTGATCTGGAAGAGCGATGAAGCGCACAGCGCGTCAGTTCATCGAAACCTGACATTCAGGCCGAAACTCAATCAAAAAGCACCTGGAACTAGAGGGTGTCTACGAAGCTCTGCAGGTGACGACAACAATAAATACCAGATAGACAGAGTGAAGGCATGATCACTTGACCGACTCACGCGAGGGAAGCAAAGACTGACATTCAAAGCAGGAGATGATCAGTATTCACTAGGATCTTGCAGTGGCTTACGAGGCTATGCGAATCAGACCTTAATAGCCGCACTGAGGATGCTGCTTAGCTTGGCAATGAAACGTCTGCAACAAAATTGCCCAGCTCAGAAAAACATTCACCCTCTCATCTTATTCACCGCTTGTTTAACTGGGTCAAAGAAGGAACCTCACTGACTCAGAAGGGTCGTTAGTTATGGATGTGAATGTGCGACTTATATGGAGGAGTTTCGCTTGCTAAACATGGTGTAAATATCGCTGAGTTAACTTTGCCGAATAAACGCTTGTCCCTGAAGGACTGATTTCTGTCACACCCATCTGTCCCGTTTTTTATTCTTCGTTCCGTAGGTCAGTATGGTTATGCGACAGCGAAGCATCCGTTCAAATGGCTGAGGTACTGCTGTTGACGATGGTGCTACTGCCCATAACAACCGATTTGTGCCAACGCATTTCGTTTTCGTCATAGTCTGAGGTAAGACAAACTGTTCCACAAAAGTGGTGAAAAATCCGCACCAGTGTGTTAAATGAAGAAATTCATCAGCGATACTTCAGAGTGCTTGAACAGATACGCTAGAACGGATATAGGGCAGTATAGTTTGAAGCGGATTGGATAACGCTTTATCACTTGACCCCGCGGCTGCATGATGTCATGATCGGAAAATACAAATGTGAACACTAGTATATGCATCCATCGAAAAAAACGATACACGAAAAATGCGACGACTTACGGTCATCCGCATTATGCTCACCTGGAATCCATCAAATTTTGCTGTCAAAGCCATCAAAGCCAATTCCGGATCAGTGGTGAGAAAAGAGGAGAATTCGGGTGGGAAGTATGCAAGCCATGATGTGGTGCAAGTTAATGGCGTTTCGGACGAATTAAGCTGGTTTGACCCATGGTCATCCAATGCAGGCCTTACGAGAAGACAATAAGCAAGCCGGAGTACAGTGAAGTGCCAAGCGATATCCGTGACGGTTGTCTGGTCTCTAGTGATTGATAACAATATTCTCTCGAGGGGACCAGTACAGGAGAATAGCGACTCGATGAACGCAAAGCGCAGGCTATGAGACAAAGAAAGAGAGTGAGCGCTGATATGAAGGAGGTAGGCTAACAAAAATGTGAGGCACAAGTGCTGGTTGAAGTACCTAACGTAAGTCTCAATAAAATGCTGCTAAAGTTGTGTGTGTGAAAATGCGGACGCATGAGTGATTTGTCCAAAGTAATGATTCGGAATACCTGTAGCTCGGGTTGGTAGTTCACGTTTTGATTCGTTCTCCGAGCTGAGTAATTTAATGTCATCTACAGGATAAAATGCGAGAACTGTGACAAGACTATATAGGTCAGACGGGGAGAAAACTATGCACAAGAATAAAAGAGCACAAACGCGCGTGTCGATATCATCATGTATCGTCGCAGATCTCAGCACACCTCGATGAGGAAGGACACAATGTTAACTGGGACAAAACCGAAATTCTGGCGCACGGAGGAACAAGAAAAGGAAGGGAATTCCTCGAGGCATGGTTCTCTACGGAGAATTCCCTGAACCTCCGCATTGATCTCGATCCCGTGTACCTACAGCTGAGAAAGCGTGAAGTTGGACGGCTAAGTATCGAACAAACAGAGGTCACGGGACACAGATCGACGAGGGTAATTTCAAACGCTACGTCCCAACGACATTTTCCGTGAGATTTCCCCTACGGAGTTGTACACTGAAGATGCCACTGAGGGAAGTGGTGAAACGTTTGACATTAAATTACTCAGCTCGGAGAATGAATCAAAACGTTGTCCAAAGTAATACATGAGGATACAAAAAAGGAAAGCAAATTAAATTAAAGTGAATGTATTCAGTAATCAGCACCAAGAACAGTGGTAGAAGCGAGAGCTCGCCGGCCAAGTACTGGGATCTCACGGAATTTAAGTGGTATGAGATATAAAACGAAATATGCCATGAGCAGTAGCTAGCGCAAATAGCGAAAGGTTGGGTACGCCGAGGGAATCTCGTTTCTAGATAGACAACCTATATAGTGATGGAGGAAAGATGTATTCCGCTTGCATAAACAATGGAAAAAAAGGCAATCGAAAAAGCTAAGGTGAAATGTCAGTCAGAAACCTTCAAATACATAAGATTGTAGAGATAAAGGCAAAATGGTGCTCAGAATGCGACCGGGGACCGAGAATTAGGAAAAACAAGTCCATGTGACTCAACGACGTCATATCTAGCAGAGATATGAGAGAGGAAATTGGTTGCCTTGTCGAAACGTCAATCAAGTATCACGATTAGAGGTGGGGAAAACATTGATAGCAATAACTTACGCGTGAGTGACGGCGGCACTGGTGGAGAAATGCTCTATGATCGTCAGAGGTGTTGGAATAGAGGTGGTAAAACTAGAAATATTGGAAAAACGAACGAAAATGAGTCTTGCAAAAGAACACACGTAGCAAACATTTTGGGCGATAACACAAGAAGCGGAATGAAAAGTGAAACTGGTATCGGTGTAACTGTGGCAAAATATACAGGGATATAAGACCATGCATGAAAATATTCGATTTACTGAGAACCACAGAAGTGTGCAACAGATCAGACTAATGAATACGGGAGAGACGGAATTGTGAAATCAATGTGTGTGTAGTGAGAGGAACGCGTGATTTGCCGCCAACACACAAGTTTGAGACTAAACTATCTGAGCTACATGTCTACACTGCCATGATAATCAACGAAGCAACGAGATGAAACAATCTCACAGAAAATATGACCAACAGAAAACCTGACAACCTACTCGGTCGATTTGACGGAAGATCCAAAACACGACAGCTCGACAAAAGCCAAAGCTATTGTCGCCAAAGCACGAGAGACGTGACGAGGTGTTGAGCTGCATTCAACCGAGTCTATGGAGGTGTATTCTTTCAGAGACGGATATACAGTTGACCAGAGAACATCTGATTGAGTGTGAAAAAGGTCCAAAGAAAAACAGAGGAGAAAACGAATGTATTTGATAGTAAAGAGTAACGAAAGAACATGAAGGAATTGTTACTAGTGGATGTGTAATTGAAAGCGCTGTTCACTTCGACACCATTAGTAAAAATAAGGGCAATAAACCAAAATGTGTTGGAAGATACAGCAGGACAAAGACGACTGCAGCCACATTGAGAAAGTATGGCAGCCTCGCGCGATCTCGTTCAAATGGTAGTAACCGGAAGTATTGCGAATATAGACCACAAAGGGATAGGTGCAACCGGTTGAGTTGCTGGGGCCACGTTTGAAGCTGAGAAATGTTAGGTGTAACCCGCCCCATTAATACAATGTACCACCTATTTTGTTTTTGGTTTTCAGGTAGTAAACACTGGACTGAATCCATAATGTGGTAATGATCAGGACAACACTTCGCAACTGATAGGAAGCTACTGACAGATTTTCGGAGGGTATGTAGTGTGTGAATCACAACGTAAGAGTGAAGAAAACAGCCGGAGTGATGCCAATGTTTGACAAATCTCCACTCATTAATGAAGATGGAATCAAGCCTGACAAACCACACTTAACGAAAATGGCTACTGTTACCGAGTAATACAACACTGAGCAATGATTAGCTACTTTACATGTGATTTAGTCACTGGAAAGTAAACGCAGGAAAATGACTGGAAAAACGTCAGGGCCACATCATAGCCATACCAAATTGTCGAGGAGCAGCTGACGTGCACAAGTAATGTCTGTTACCCACAAAAAGAAAGCTGCAAAGCCAAGCAGTAAGTATGGGGCTATTAGCACTGACATGTGACATATGACGCATTCAACAATGGAGATCGAAATGGCCCTAAATGTGTCTGTGCAGAAAAGTGTTGATTAAAGCTGTGAGCGAGTGAACACGATTGGAGCTACATGTGCAGTTACCGGTTGCTCCAGAGGAGGCATCAAAAGCAACAAATTAAGTGGCACAAAGTGCGACAAAAAAGCGCGCCGCCAAAAATACATTTCACGTTAAGTGGAACGAGATGTATAAGTAGTTATGTGCTAGTGATCGGGCGGCCATGAATAAAAGGTGCTAGATGTAAATTTTACTATCGCGTGTATCGTGACCATAGTCCGTGACATGGTTCGACCTTATTTAGTATTCTTATGGAGGCATGGTGCAGCAACGTTAACGCTGCCAGTAAACGCTCTATGATAAGCAGGCTAACCCAGTCGTGTGAGTGACGCTTGCAAAGACGGACAAATATTGGCTTCAATTAAGGTACTATTTGTGGATTAGACACTGTTCAATAAGACGATATAGTATAATCAGCATGGTAAATTGGAATGGATCCCCTCGCCTTGAATCTTGTCATCACGACGACAGCAGTAATAACAATATTGTAAAATGATACGAGTTAAAAAAATAAAATGAGGAAAGCAAATAAAAAGTGGACATAAAAAGGCAGATAAGAAGCACAACAAGCAGCATATGTGCTGCACTTAGCGGACTCGACAGTCTGGATTGCGGTGCTGAAGAGGCGCACCAACTCCGCACCAATCTTGACGACAGCAAATCTGCTGACCCTGACGGACTATACCCACTGATTCTCAATCCCCTATCGGCCATCATCACACCTCAAGTGAATGACATATTCAACATGTTGTCCGAGTGATTGGAAATGCTCGGTTGTACAACGGATTCCGAAAGGCGGTGACGCCAGCAAACTGGACAGCTACATACTAATTTTTCTGACATCTATTTTGGCCAAGGTTGTAGATAAGATAGATCATGCAGTAGATCTGCTATAGCTGTTCCTGTCAAGATCTCTAGTGACGTTAACGCAGCACGGTTTTATGCTAGGAGGCTCATGCATTACCAACCTGCTGGTGACGAGGCATGAATGGTTGCAGGCAGTGAAGCAGAGGAAGTCTGTCGCCGTAAGCTACATCGATTTCAGTAAAGCGTTCGAGAAGGTAAAGTATGGGAGGTCTTCTCTACAAGCTGAGGGCGTGCGGTGTTGGTGGATAACTGCACCAATGGATCCATGACTTTCTCGTTGGACAAAAGTGGGGGGGGGGATAAGTCGACAGCCATCTGATTGACTGGTATCCCACAAGAAGTGACGTACCCCAAGGCATGGTGCTGGGGCCCACTATGTTCTCAATCCACATCATGTACTTAGCTCAACTTCTTCGGTCGCGGTGTGCCTTGTTTGCGTACAACTTGGAGAGTGATTAGCATCCGAGACGACTACGGATTACTTCAACAAGACCTCAGCCGCCTCTAAATGTGGTTTGCAAATCTCTTTCCCAATCAACCTAACCAAGTCGGTATCCATGAGTCTGGAGAAGGGTGGTGGCGACAGAAGCTAAACCCTAGATGACCAAGCGCTACATCCCACGGCTATCATGAAGGATCAAGGTTTAATCTGGCGCTGCTAGGCTATATCGCAACGGTCTGTGCATGCTTTGGGCGTTCAAACCCAGATTCTTTACTTGGTCTGAAGAGGTCGCCATTTGCCTCATCTCTTCCAGCATGAAAATAATACTAATGCTAATAATAATAATAATAAATACTACTACTTCACTTGAGAACGCCATGCAGCAGATAGACACCGGTACAAGCTTGTGGTGCCAGAAAAAACGATTACCTCAGTCCCTGGTCTTCGAACGGAGGGTGGCAAATGTTTGGAACAGTGCCAAAACATGTCATGAAGGCCCAATCTCTGCAGAAATTCAAAAAAATTACTGGATGTACATTACCCCAGCAGTCGAGTCGGAATGACTGCACACTAACACTGATATCTCACGGCTGTAAGCCAGACATTTTTAAATACAACATGGGAACTTGAAGAAGGATAAGCGCATCCATAAGTGGCAGACACATTTTATAGAATTTTTGATCATATGCTACGATACAGTATTCAGTATTCGGATGTGGTACCGGAGGAAGCAGCAAGCAGAAGGATAGATTGTTGTTTACAAATCCATCGAGAAGGAATTATTGCAGAAAACATGTGGCATGGATGTAAGCAACGCAACAAAAGCAAAACTAACTTTGTAGCTGATTGGTTGATTCATTCCATAGACCCACACTGTAGGAGTAACAAATAAAACATGAAATAAGGAGAAGTTGAGTATTCACAGACAGATAGACGGAGCTTGCAAAAATATGACATTAAAATAGTATGCATTTCTGATCGCCGGTGCTTGAAAGATACTATAGTTACCACTCGCAAAGACCTGCTGGCCTTAGAATCGTGGAGCGCTGAATGGCAAATGCCCCTAGCGGACAAATACAGTATGTAGACTTGCCAGTGCGAACTTTCTTCAAACGCTTTCTGCGGGGAAACCTATCCCTGTAGCAATAACATACATGATCTAGGCATATTATTCGAGCACTCTGTAGTGAGCAAGTTGAATTCATAATAGCTATATCGCGAAGCGGAAATCTCATATCAAAATAATTCGCGATGCGTGATTTTAAGCCTGCATTCGCCGTATGCTAGAGCACTGCACCAACGGCGTAGCAAGGGGTAGCAAAGAGGGCGGCCCGCCCCGGGCGGTCTGTGACAAGGGGGCGGAATTTTGAACAAGTCTGATCGTTAGACGCCAAATATAAAGGGCAAAATTTCCATATAAGCCGAAAGTTGAATATTTTTAATGTTACTCTGTAGAACCAACACCATTGCGCTATGTATCACAGCTGTGCAGACATTCTTCCCAGCGATCCCCTTACTTGTCCCATTGTGCTCACTATCACCCCACTTACCTATGTACGAGAGGATCATCCATTTCATCGAAAACTAAACTGAAGAGCTGTTGGCAATTTAAAGGGTTTACAGATTTAAACTGCCAGGGGTGGGGGCGAAAGTTTTACCACCGCCTGGGACAGCAAAAGTAGATGCTATGCCACTGCACGGTACAAATATTTTACAAGCTGCCAATAACCCCTTGTCCAAACTAACTACCCTAAGCGTTGCAATATGCCACAATTTGACTCACTGTGGTTGAGACACATGAGCCAAGGCCTAATAATGTTCTTTGATTTGGCTCATAAACGTGTGCTTGCATCAACAACTTATTCGCTTCAAACAGATACGCAATTTGGCATACCAAGTACTCACTCCAATTATTATTTTTATTAAATACTCAATCCTGGTGTTCAAAACGAAGACTAAGGTTTAAAGAAAATCCTACTAAATGGACGTGCTGCAACTCAGAACCGCTTCCATATTGAAATAAGAGCCTGCGCATCGCAAACACAGTGTAAAAAGGCAATCTGTAATTAGGCTGAGATCAAAAGACTTATCAAGTAAAATCTAGATATATACTTGGTTGGCACCATCCGGTTCCGGATTTGCCTGTTACCGCGGCCTCCATAGAACAGCCACAGGATGCCTGCGCATACAGAGGGAACATGAGTGGCTTGCGCTGCACCACACACTCCATATCCAGTGAAAACCGAAGGAATAAGACCGGGAGACCGGTGGATGGAAGCCACAATTCATCCACGGAACCTGCCCACACTCCTTCAACACGCACAACAGCAGCGTTCCTGTTTGTCTAAATTGGGAATCATGTGTACCAGACGTACACAAGACGGTGGCCGGGCCGTAGTTCGCTCCACACTGGATGGAACCAGTCTTTGACCCTAGCACGGCACGAGGACTGTGCAGCCCCCAGCAACTGTTCAGTCTTCAGGAGCCAATGTGGAGGGTGTTGAACAGGTAGGGACCTTGTCAACATTCACATCAAAGCAAGCACACCGCGGATATCAAAAAAACAACACAGAATTCAAAGGGTAATAAGTGCGCAAAATTAACACGGAATATGCAGCTGGATAACAGCTACGAAAGTAAATGAAAGGGAATACATTGTATCCAGGTTAAGTCGGAGTAGCTCAAATGAGGTGAAGATGCAGGATGCATATATATATATATATATATATATATATATATATATATATATATACCATTTTCACTTTAAATTGGACATTTTGCGATCCACTGTGGTCACATTGGATTTTAAGCAGAAAATCAGCAATTCACTTGCAAGAAGTGAGGAGTAAGACGACTAGACGATGATCAGACTACATCGCAGTCATGCTAATGCAACTGAATCTTATAACCACTGCGTGCCACTGTAAACTTTCCTCTTAATCGTGAATCTGGATCGCCTCGAGCAAAAGCGGTGACCGAGTATCCCCCTATCTCCCAATCTGCCTTCTCGTTGCTTATGTGCTTCTGACGTTACACATAAATATGTGTAGCTATGTGACTATTAGAAAATCAGACTCCCCAATCGCGTATTCTATTATGTATTAAAGAAATGTTACGTGGCATTGGAGGGTCGTTGTGAGGCACTCATTTTTAGAATGGATATAACGCAACATCTCAATGTAGACCACGATTCCCACTGAACTAAATCTTGACCAATTGGATCACTTGGACTGTTACTGAGGCAGTAGATAGGCAGCAATACAGTTGTCCCCTGTCACTCTATAGGTTTTCGCGTATTTTCGATGGGCGAATCTATTCAGCTGCTCGTTTATTAGATCAGTGCAGACCCCCATGACTCCACCAAACACAGCACAGTTTTATTGGCTTACTGATGCAAATCATTATTGAAAAAAGGGTAAAACGACTGGACGATGTTCAGGCCACATTGTGCTCGCGCTTATGCAACGGGACTGTGCAAGCAGTGAGCGATTGTGCAATCCCTCCTCTCGATCATTGGCGTTGTTCATCTCGAGCAAAGCAGGCGACCCAGTTGTCCCGTGTCGCTCTATATGCTCTATATTTCTTGTGGGTGTATGGGAGAACCTATGCAGTGGAATCACTGGAACACTGTTGGCTATTATGAATCAATCTAGCTTCATTGGTTTCTGCCTGTAGCATGTTATCAATCCAGGGGAGTAAGGGGACTGTACGATATTCCGGCTACATTGCGCTTACGCGAATGTGACGTAACTGGATAAGCAGTGAACGATTGTGCGTCAACTGGGCGTCAACTGTCTCGATAACAAACGGTGACCCAGTTGTCCCTTGTCGTTCAATAGGCCTTCGCGTATCTTTTGTGGGTGTGTGGGAGAACCCCTTCAGCTGCACGAATATTGGCACAGTGTAGACTATGATAAATCAACCAAAACCAGCGTAATTTTGCTGGGCTAAAGTTGAAGTTTGTTATCAAGGCAGGGGAGTAAGGCGACTGGGCAATGTTCTCGCCACAGGTTGGTCATGTGAATGCAGCGGGACTGTGCAAGCAGTGGATAGTGACGTAAGCCATTTTTTCGATCAATGGAATCGTTCACCATCATGGAAGCGGATGATACATTTTGCCCTGCCATCCTATGGGCACCCGCGTATTTCCTGTGGGTGTGGGGGGCCAACTTATTCAGCTGCTCGATTATTGGATCATTGCCGGCTATCATGACTCCACCAAACACAGCATAGCTTGATTAGCTTTGTGCTGCACGAAACGGCGAAAATGAGCGACGAGCACGGACAGAATGCAGCTTCGAGGCCGAGGCAGTTTAAGCGAACATCAATGGCAAAGAAAGGGATCGTCACTAAGCTTGTGTTCGTCGAAGGAAAAACCATCCATGAAGTCGCCGATTTGAACGAGCGCACGGCAAGAAATATCATCCATGCCTGCAGCAGAGAAAGCATGAACACACAACGCAGAGGTGGAGGAAACAACAGGGAGAAGCTGACTCCCGAGGTCCTGCAGCGCATTGTAGGAAACGCTGAACGATATCACGAAGATACTGGTGCAGCTACAGCAGCGGCTGAGCGAGATCGGGATCCACCTATCATTATCTACTGTTTTTATCGCTCCCAGGAGGTTAAGGTTAACGCCCAAAATGTGCCACCAGGACTTAGACCGCGTCAGCAGTGCTACGACCATCGCAAGCCGGCAAGATCACGCGCTCTTGGCTTCTCGGTATATGCACCGAATGACAAACAAAATGCATCTTCATAGATGAGAGCGGGTTCAATCTCCACATGCAACGGACTCAAACTCGCTCAAGAGGGACGCGTGCGAACGTCATCTTGCTTATAGTCAGAGGCCGAATGGCGAAGTTGAATTTGGCAGTGAATAACCAAAGCATCGTCCACTTAAAAATCATCAGCGATGATACTTGCAATGATGTGAAGTTCTCGATGTTCGTCGAGGAACTTGTGAAGTGTACACGCTGCAGAGTGGAGATGAACGGTGCATGGCTGATCATGGACAACGCCAGGATCCACATGCCGGATGGTCTAAGGAGGATCTTCGGCTCATCCTATCAGGTGAGGTTCTTCTCGCCCTACTCGTACATGCTAAACCCTGTAGAACATTGGTTTTCGACGGTGAAATCATCGGCGAGACGCCTGTTGGTTAATCCGACGCCGCACCAGACGCTAAGTACGGTCATTCAAGAGAGTATTGGAACGGTAACGCAACAGGACTGCACGAACTGCGTTCTCAATATGATGCTGAGCCTGATAAAAGCAGTCGCTGGACAGACCTGCAGTAATTGAACGTTTTTAACGTTTGTGTTCTCTTTCTTTTCAATACAACATTTTCCTTTTAAAGTAGGTGTTTTTGAAACCAAACTGCCGGAGCTAACATGAAAGAATAGGGCGATTTCTGAGATGTCCATAGAGTAGGCCTGTCAGGTTGCGACGGTCGGGGCACTGTTTACACCATTTTGCTCATAGTGAACTTGTTTAGCGTTATCCGTAGCCTCCTGTTAGCGTGGAAGACAGCAGATAAGGATAGATGGGTCCCGATCTCCCTCAGCCGCTGCCGCAACTACACTAAAGTGCCCTCGTAATGATGTTCAGCTGTCACATCCACGCGCAGCAGGATAACGGGATTAAAATTCTCCCTGTCGTTTCGCCGAGTATTCGTGCTTTTAATCTATGTTTGAATACAAATGCAACGTTGGCACTTTTAATATTTTGATTAGTCTTCTAGTTCGCGCTTTTCCCTGTTTTATTGGTTGCAATGTTATATGCTGTTGCGTAACTTTTTTTTACTTTTTCCGTATAATCGACCCGCGTTAGTTTAATTGAGGAATGCCTCGCAGGAGATCAAGTTTCGGCTGTTGTACTCGCGGAGCGGAAGCAGTTGGGACGAGTAATTGCAAATCAAACTGACGAAGGCCGGGAATCAGCGAACCAGCAACACAGACAGAGAATGGAGTAACGGTGCCAGACTCGATCACTTCACTTAACTTGATAGCTGCGTCAGCAATGACGAGCGTATAAGCAGTGAAGTCAGTTCACGTATTACAAAAGCTAGAAGTGCCTTCTTGAATCTGTGGTGCCATAAGGGAGTCTCCCTCCGTCTGAAAAGGCGCGTTTACAAAGCCACGGTGACGACCGTCCTATTCCATGGGAGCGAAGCTTGGCCTATTCAATCTGAAGACCTGTAGGGCCTTCAAATCTTTGATAATCGATGTCTGCGAAGCATTACTGGTGTCAGATGGCACCAGTGTATCCGCGACGATGATGCGTATATATGAGTGCTAGGCAGTGACAATCATGCTAGTTCCTCAGAAAAACAGATAACAATGAATAAGCTGCGTTGGCTTGGCCACGTATTACGCATACCTGATCATCACTTGCTGAGGAGCGCCTAGTTTTGTTTAACAGATGCAGGGTCGCCAAAGGTCCCAGGTAGGCAAAAGTTAACAGTAGCGAGAAACAAACTCACTGACGACCAAACTGGGTGCCGTCGGCCTATCTTGCCTTCCAGGCTGGAGTCCACGTGACCCGCCTTGTGCTTGACTAGAAAGGTTACAGGACATGGCTTGCAGTCGGCACCAGTGGTGTGTCTGCTGTCGTCTCCTAGTATGTTTCAGACTGAGTTATCTGCCGGGTATTGGCTGATTATGACGTGAGGCAGTGAACGCGGCAAGGAGGCTTTCTCGCCGATACCACTTTATCTTTGCACAATATCTAGCTGTTTGTGACGCTATGTTGACACAAGGCGTATGTGCCTTGACCCTGAATGTTTGTTTAGGGCATTAAGGTTTTACGGTAGGTCCCCATTGTCTCACTTTCATTGTTCCTCGTTCCGTAGGTCACCGTGATATCACGGCAGCGAAACATCAGTTCAAATGGCTGATTTAATGCTGCTGATGAGAATGATTCTGGAAGCTGAATTTCAAAGTATTCGCATCATACGCTTTAACCAGCAGGAATAGATCAGGGAAACTTCGTAGTGTCAACGGAAAAACTGCAGGGATAACTCTAACTGTACTAAGTTCAGTGTTTTTGCTGCATAACGTGGATAATAATGAATAAACAAGGAAGTCTCGTACGACTCTCATGACGGGCAGTCGGGTTGGAGTCAAGAAATCAATAGATCAAAAGTAACGTCACACATGAACAAAAAATGTTTTTTTATCGAGCAGCCCCTAGCAACAATCGACGCGTAACAAATGTAATAGATGCAAGAGATGCATACCACGAAGATAATTCCAACAGTCGCGTAAGGAAGGTGTACCATGAATCTTGATTCGGCCACCGAACTGACTGGAAAAACATGGAATCTGTTGAAAAGAAATAATGTACATAGAGTGAACGATGGACAACACAACGGAAAACGTCCCGGTATCCGCCGATATCGCTGAACTGGAAAGGAAAAGGTGTATGCACGAGGACATCCACCTAAAGTTTTAGCAAACTAAGAAAACGATCGCTTTTAAGTAAAAAACAAGAATGCCACCAAGTGCTGATGAATGCCGAGGTGGAAACAGAGCCGATGGGGATCTTACAATGATGAAATTATAACAATTGTATGCAAAGTAGTCAAAGAGGTTACACATGTTCTAAATGGCTTAGAACAAGATGTTGAAAACAACTACATTTACATATTTTCTAAAATCAATTACGAGCGTAGTTAAGTTCAGTTCAGATAAAAGATCAAGATCCGCGAATCTAAGTGCAGTGGACCTAGATGCCACGACTCGCATCACCAAGATAACAATAAATAGTTGGTGGGAAAACTGAACGCGGAAGGAAAATGAAGGAGTTAAGGAGGTGAGTAAAACCAATCGAGTGGAATAAGAGCGGTGGGATGTAAAAAACCGAATGCAGGAACGCCACTGACTGCTCAACTGCGTCATGAGCGAAAGGATCCGCGAGCAAAGTTAATTAAAGGCGATTTAAGAGTTTAGTGATATGATCACCAAAAGTAGTGCAACCACTAAGGGATGCGAAGTAACCGATTGTTGTAGCTGTTCGGCGAGAAATAGATCCGGTTGCGTGTCGGCAGTCAAACAACAACATTTTGAGAGAAAAAAGCACATGCCGGAAGGTGTGAGCCTATTAAATAGCGCTTGCATAGCAATTACTTCCGATCCAAGAAGAGCTATATCGTCGACATATCCAAGGTTTATCAGTCGATTACGTGACAGAAATATCAATCCAGAAGAAGCTAAGAGAGGGAGAGCATTCATGAGCAGTTCAATCACCGACTTGTAAAGAAATGGATACATGGAACAACCACAGAAAACCGCACTTATCGAGTTGGAGTAAAGAGCTGGTTTCCGCAGACCATCAACAGGCCATGGGAGTCGCGGCAGACTTTAAAATGGAAAGGAATTTCCCTAGTGCTGCGTATTTGCTTATTTGTTCTTCCTTTACCGTGCACTGTTCCACTCGATTAGCTCGACACAACAGATTTGGCGAAGGAAGTACGCGCAACAAGTCGATAACCACCAGAAAACTGAAGACAATCCTGCACAAACAGCAAACTCAATCCGAAGCAGCCCAGATGCAATTAATGGAAAACTTGATGAAACATCTCAGCATTAAGTCATCAATTCCGGCTCCATAAGAACATGCACTCGAAGCAATTGTTAACATCATTAACGGATTAGATAATGAACCTGATGCTGGTTTTATTTTTAATCTTGGTTCAAACTAGATGACACATTCAAAATCGAACGGAAACACAGGGATGATGCATGGATAATCAGGATGTTGCTGATGGAGAATGGTCCAACGGAGCACACGCGATACTACAATTTTATTCTGCCAAAAAACGCCAAGGATCTCAAATTTGACGAAACCGTCCACCAGCTATCAGAAAGTTTCGGTGAGCGTTCTTCCATGTCCAAGACTCGGCATCAATGCATGAAGCTAGGCAGACAGTAGGGTGAAACTTTCATCCGCAACCAAAGTACTGACAGTTCAAGCTGACAACCGTTAAAAAACATCAATTAAGCGCCTGATTTGGATTTTCGGCCACCAGTCACACCCCAAGAGTGATAACAGGTCTAGGTTACTAGGCAAGATTGAACGAACCCCTGTTATTATGCTACCGCAAATAACCTGCGGGTACCAGGGTCTGCTAAATCTAAAGCATGATACAGCAATGCTGGATTGGTCATCGCCCAACTCTACTTTCAATGTCCCAAAAAGGTGCACAAGACAACCCTGCAGTTTCGAAAACACTATCCGCAAATTGGCACTGTGGCAAATGGCATTTCGTAGGGTTTGATACCTATAAAAAACACAGACGCTCAGGGTGCAACCAATGCGAAAACAAACAAAACTAATGCCGAACAACGAAACGCGTTAAAACGAAGTTATTTATTTTTATTTTTATAAGCTAAAAAACTAGAAATTGGTGGACACGAATCTCCAAGCAATACTCCTCACACAAAAATGGGAAAACTGTGATTCATATTTACGTGGACATACACTGCTGACATGTTCAGTGCTAAAGGCAGTTGGTAAGCCGTTGTAGATTGGGGCAATATTATCGGTATATATTAAGTCGAGAAGTCGACCAACTAAAAGTCTCTCCACATAACACAAGAATTATTCAGTGAACGCTGTTACCATAGTTTCGTCAATAGTAAACTTAAAAACGAGAGGTGACGGTGGGAATTCATAACGCACACCGCTGCAGATACCGAAGGGCTATGACAGCCCGCCAAAAGCACTCAACCATCCATAGTTGCGCACGGAAAAGACTACTAAGTATTTCACGGATACACGTTTCTAAATCAGACAATCCCGCAGACAATCCCGAAAGCATTTAAAAAATAAAGAAAACGACCACAGTGGGTCATAATTATCAGTAAGGATGCCCCACCAACTGACATCGAGTGAAGGATGTGGTCAATGCAGCTACGGATTTGATGAAACCCGATTTTCTGTGCGCCAATTTGACTGTCAGTGGTTAGAGAGGTTGGAGGCTATGGCGCGCAAACGCCATCAGTGGAGACAGTGCTGTTCAACCGTCTTATCGAACATAAAAGTCCAAAAAAAATTCCCAAAACGGCGTGTGTAAAACCAAAAAAAGCGCTTTCATGTTGTATTTCGTTTCCCCCTTTATTACGTCATGTTTCTGATGACACCTTATCTGTAATCAGAGTTTGAATATATATATATATATATATATATATATGTAAAATTTACACGGACGACGGTTAATACTTGAGTAAAGGAGGCAAGTAAATTAAAGACGATTAAGATCAGACTGATATCCCTGCAAAGTTCAGAAATGAACGAAGCAGGACTAGTCGCACATGACAGTTTGATAATCCTCCAGCCTCACTAACAAACTGCAAAGCGTCCAAAAGAGCAGGTCAATCGAATTCGAGGTTTGGATAAATCCCATCTGGTCCTGTACAATTCTAGTCTGATATATGCACTTCACTACATCCGGTAGATAGCAGGATTCGAACCCGGGACCGCTGGGATGTCATTTGGAACCACTACCGCTTTAGCCACCGTATCACGACAGGCAACGCTTGGCACAACGGTCATTAACTGATTGCAAGGTCATTTGAAGTAATCGTTGTATGACTGAATTGCGACGAGCAATCTCAATGTGGACCGTGATTCGCAACTAACATCCCAACGATCACGGGTTCGAGGTCTGCTATCTCTACCTGATGAGAGCAAACAGGACCAAAACGCATAGTGGAGTGCACTGTTTTCAGGCGGACAATACCCAATTTCCATGCGCTTCAGCTATGATCCTAGTGATCGAATTGACCAAGGTACGCATCAGCACGAATTATGGTCCGCATTGAGGTTGCGCGTCGCAATCGAATAAAAGAACGAGTACTTCAAATGACCTTGCAATCAGTTTGATCCCCCGTTTGACTTCTGCGATAGAGGGAGAATAAAAGCGACGGCTCAAGTAGCACGGAGATAGCTGGCTAGTGATGAATATGGTACTTTCGTTCGGTGTTCAGACTCATGCTCCAAACGTTTTGGCAAATTGTGGTGAGACAGTTTACTCGCATCGCATACAGTTTCGCTAAGACCAGGTCTCATTCCGCCCGGTTCCCCTATCGGACGTCATAACTTTCGACGGTTAGCAAGAGCAACGATTATTTTCATCCTCGATGCACAATGAGACAATTTGGATTTGTCATCTCACTTCGGGCCAGCACGTAATCTTATCCTTTCATTCCTGCGACCTTCGTTGTGTTCGTGTAAAGCCGGCGGGTATCCCGAATTTCCAGACAAGGCGTAGATACCAGTTGCCCAGGCTGCGAATCGGATATACCCCGCAAATACAACTGCTGCTACTGACGTCTGATGGACATGTGACTAGTGACCTACAACTGGGTTCAGTGAGCGCTTAACCAGCTTGAGTGCCAGTTTATTTCGATGTGCGCTCAAAACATCCGTTTTTAACAGTTGATAAGTATCTAGGTGCATATAGCGTCTTCGAGAGCGTCCGTCAAAACGCACTAGCAGATCAACACATAGTCGGAGTTCAAAGTTGTGCTGCAAATCGAGCGACAGTTTGGAACGCAGCCTCTCCTAGGGTAACTGATCATGATGTGATTGATTTGCGTCCAACAAGGTTGCCATGTAACCCTATGGTCGGTGCTGGGTCGGAAGTTACTGCTCGCGAAAATAAATGAGCATCCTCACATAGGTGTAACAACAGCTCACTCGTATCATTACGTGAGCCTACACAGTGTCCGCCGCCTAGATGCAGATCATCAATGGAGAGTTCTTCAACCTAAGCGTTCAGACCACCAACCAGCACTGAAGCATCTGCACTTTTCATGTGACGAAGGAGCTAGTACAATTGACGATAGAAGACATCCTTCATCGAGTAATCGATACAGCTTGCAGAGGCACAAGCAGGGCGAGCTGGAACGTTTGGGTGCGACTGACTAATGGCGCACGTCCGGCTGTTGACTGGGATACAGTCGATTAGGGTAGCTTCAATACGGAGCTCAGAGCAACCGTTTAATTGGTGTTCAAAGCCGCGGTATCTTCGGACAAACGTAATGTGATGCCTAGTGGCACACGGAATGCATAGTAGGGTTAGCATGTAGTTCGAATCTTGCAAATGGGCTTCGGATAAGCAGTAGATTTCGGTCGATAGAGTCTCTAATATTCGGGAAGTGCTACCGGTCGATCGATCGGCCACAAAGTGCGCATATTCAGGCATGCAAGTCTTGGCGGGGATCAATGACACCAACTTAACGCAGATGCGTTGCAATTTTCAGTTTTGTTGAACATGCACTTGTTGACAAGAGCAGATGTTTCACTCCGCACTTACGTGGGACTCGAAACCAGAAGATAAATGCAAATCAAAACAAGATGTTAGTATATCAGGCAGTGGAATGGTATGCGCGACAATAGGGGGTGCGAAAACTGCCATCTAACAGAGCTCAATCGATCGTCGTGGCGAGCAAACCACAGCACCCCGTTAAAGGCAAGCCCCGACGCAATGATTAGTTCACAGCATAATGGGTTGCCATCCCGAGACATCGTGCTCTTGAGTCGATTGTCACAGCTTCAAGGGGAGAACACACAGCAAGATAGCGAGATGACCGCAACCTACGGCGCATATAAATATCTACTGAATGTGAAGTAGCTGAATTGTTTTTGCGAAACATTGCACTCTAAGAGTGGTTAGCTTTATAATGTAACACTGATCCAAAGTCCACTAAATGTCACGGTAGCACTCATTCTCACCGAGTTACATTTTTCATTGAACTGTAGAAATATATAAAACGCTGAAATGTAGAGCACCGAAAAACATCAATCATATAATTTTTCGTGGAAATATATTCGTATTCAGATGAACACCTTTGGAAAATGATTTCACTGCCATAAGTCTTAGCTCCTATCTTTCGAATATAATTTGACTACTCAGCATAAAACACCAACAAGATATTAAGCGCAACGGAAGAGATACTCGTGGATAACGGAACCGTTCAAGCAGCGAACATCGAATAAAACGTTAACAGAACGGTTAGAAATGCTCCCCAATAACCAGTGAACACTGTCGATTAAGTTGGAAATTCATGTACCGAACTGAACCCGCCAAAGCGGCCATTTCGCATAAATCGAAAACGCAATTTTTTATTAGAGCTAGAAACTGAAAGCGCAGGGTAAGACTGATAACAAATCTATGCCAGCGAAGGTTATTGAGAAATCGAGTATAAGGTGAAAATAGAGGGCATCAATTGGTACTTGCCAAAACAAATGGAGAGCATGCGAAGTAGAGACTCCGGTGGAGTGCCCACAGACCAATCGACCATGTCCAACCCAAACTGAAAGGTTGAGTTGAGTAAATCCATTTTCCATCCAATGGATGATAAGCGCTGGTGGCGATTTGCCAGATTGGCAACAGAGGGGAGAGAATCGGTATAAAGCCTGTAAAGAGAAAATCAAACAGAATAAAGGAGTGGACTGGAACAGGTTAGAAGAAGGTCACCGTATGTTGACGTTTAAATATGACGAGAAAGGATAGCATAGATTTGGATGTCACTTGAGATCTTTAGCTGAAGTAACGAACAAGCAGAAACCAATAAAACGACCATGGAATTTTACAGTTTCAAACGGGCAAAACGGAATAGTCTGTGCGGAGTGGATCCATAAGAGCAGTGGGATTATGGCTAAACTTAGGCTTCCGACGGTGAATCAGTTCGAGCAGGATGTAGGATGCGTAAAAAATTGCATCCATGAAACCAAGGCACGAATAGCAAGGCCAGATTTGTCACATGAGTGCACTGATCACAATTGGATTCAAAGAGCTGGTGCCATGTCCCCCGTCAATAAGAGAGAGAGCGTGGGAATGGTTGCGGCATGCAGATGACCAAACATAGAGCAACCAGATGTGCTCTGTCCGCAGACGAAGACATGCTTGAAGATGTTAAGGAAGACCTTCTTAAGCGGATAAACCACACAGTCCATATCAAGGAGGCTCGCCTGAATGTGATACAAACGGGGATAAATATGAAAAAGTATCATCAAGTATACAAGTAAGAGATAATATGGTGTCCTAAAGCAAATCCCGATAACCGAAGGTACCTCAGGTTACACAAGATAAGGCATCGCGTGTCGGCGTTTTACAAAACGCGTCCTGATCTGGAACGGAAGGTATTCAGTCAGGTAAGAACGGGAAAATTCTCAGACGTAAAGATCCGGCTATACAGTATGGCAAAAAACTAAAATACGCGCACATATTCGGATCCGTGACTGCTTGAGTTTGGTGCAAATGAAATGGCCTAAGATAAACTGCTTCGTTCAACTCCCGCTTCTGAACGCACCAGACTTGTGGAAAACAAGTGCCGCACGGGAGACAATGGTTTCAGCGCTGTTGACTGCTGCATTGGATGGAAATCAGAACATGTGACGAACCGCCGGTACTCTAACGGAAAGACCCTATGTCACAAACATAATTATATCGGAGTATGCCATTGGGCCAAAAGAGTTGGGTTGCACCAAGTGGCGCAGTTCGAGCGCCGGTTGTCAGTAACACTGGCTTTCAGTAGTCAGAGGACAAGTGAGGTCAAGATTCCAGTGTTTGAATTCATTAATCACACTTCATTGTAAGGTTACAAAGGTGGTTTTACGGAGCATAGATTCAGACTAAAAAATACAGCAACAGCGTTTGTATCATCTTAGCAATGATGAGAGCAGCGAAAGAGAAGACGACTCCATCCGAGCTCTTCGGCGACGGAGTTCAACAGTCTAGTTTTGAAACATGTGTCGACTGGACGTGCAAACTGACGTTGTCCATTGGAAACGTGTCTGACAGGACAAGACCTCGAAACAACCAAGCGAACGGTTGATAATGAATCACGAGAGAGATACACAACAGACTGGGTTGTGTCTAACTGAAAACATATGGTGAAAGCCCTTGGAGTGTTTGGAGAATCCATTACATGTTTGGTTCATTTGTGGCTACTCAATTGCTTTTATGGAAGTATAGTCAACACTGATGCAAGTAGATCAGCAGTAAGCCTCAACCATAAATGTGATGTTGGCTGGGAGGTTATGCGGTAGAACCGATGCGAGGCCAGTATACTGGAAAGCCAATCAGCGTCACCAGCGCTAGATGAACATGCTAAACGGGTCGGATGAACAATGAGAAATTGGTTTACAGTATTGTGGCTCCAATAAGGCTTGGACAAAGAAAAGTTGGTTACCCGAGCGACGGTGACTCCGAGCACACAGTGTAACGGTGTGATAGATCAAATGAGAGGAACAGGCAGCGGGTGAAAAGTCAATTAGCACCGCCAGCGCCCGCTGACCACAATTTCACGGACAGAATGAACAGTCCAGAATTGATGTAGGGCGTCGTGAACAAAACGCAACTTTGTTCGGGGATAATAAGAGTGATCCAAACAGCAGCGAGTGAACGAGCAGCGCAAGCCAATGAACTAAGGGAGGTGACTAGTAAGAATCAGCTAGAGAAAGTGCGTTACAGTAATGATTCAAATATGTAGATATTACCAAATGACCCCTTGTTCCTTGACAAGAGATTATTGGATCGTTGTCCAGTCTTGGTTGTGATTACTGTAAGGTTATTCCAACAAATATAACCTGTTAGTTTGCTTTGCATGATGCTCTCATTCTCACAACTCTGCGACTAAGATGCCGTTACCCCATCGCCTCACCGATTCGCACTTTGTGTTGCCCATATGTGTATGCTACGAATTAGTAATTCGTTCCCTAAAAAAAACCTACAGAACCTGTTAGACCACTGTTCTTTTACCGTCATAAAGCACTGTTCCATTGTAAAATCAATGAAGCATAAATACAGCTGTAACGATGGAGGCCAATTAATAGTTTTCGCATAAAATACAAGTTTCCAGTGCAGCGTAAAAAGAAAGGCCCGAGTATGGCTCACATTTGGAACAAACCAGTGCGTATAGAACTGCATAATTCGGACAAACGTTGAAAACCATCCACGAGGAGCACTCTATCCGTTTTCGCACAAAGCCAATGATGCCTGAATAGAAGAAGGAGGGTCTGCAAACCTTGAAGAGCAGAACATTGCCGGCCCGCGTCCCAGTTGTGCAGCGGGGTCGTAGAAATGCTTCTCGAGAAAATTTCTAGTATCAGATCAACCTAAACAGTATGCAGTATAGTAGATCAGGGGGCATATACTTACCAAGGTAACCAAAGAGTCGGTGTTTCCCAAATCCTTACTGGTGTAGCGCATCAGAGAAGCGTCAAAAAGATGTCCCAGAAGCAGAAAGTAATGGAAAATTGCACGGCGAGTCAGTGACGGCAATGAAACCTTCAGGCTAGACAAACGGAGAGAATAGTAATCCACACACAGCACTGAAACTTAGCAAAACCCAAAGTACATAAATGAAATATGCAGAGAAATAAAAAATGTTCGCCCGAAAAACCCGATTCAAGGCGCGTGGAAGTTGGGCTATAAGTAATAGCAACAAGCAAATTATAGGGTACAAAAAATATTGCTGAATTGAAACACGTAATTATGGCCCGGTTTCCCTAGCGTATAAGTTCAAACGTACAACAACGGTTGTGAAATGATTAGTATCGGAAAGCATCCATCACGCTTTCAACTTGCTAATGTCACAGCTAGAGAAAGTTGAAGTGAGGCAATCAGCGAGTGACTAAGTGATGTCGCATCTCAATGATCTAAACCTGTATCGTGAGCAGTGGCGCAGCAACTACTTCTGCCGCCTGGGGCAGTGCTAAGTTTTTTGTCCTGACTGAAGGCTGAATAGGCGCGTGAAGGCCCCATCACTGACCAGGGTAAAGTGCACATTAATTTTCGATGAAATGGATGATCGTTTCGTGCACTGAGGTAAATGCGGTGAAAACGATCACAATGGGACAAGTAAAGATATTTGAAATAAATGAGAATATCCTTAGCTCGGGGGGTGCATGCGGATTTTGAGCTGTTCTTCGAACTGAGTGATTACTGTGCAGACTTTTCGTTGCCTGACAAGGTAACATCATCAATGCAGCTTCAGGGGCCTGGTTCATAGTGCCTCGTAAGCGACCTCAATGTCCAAGTGCTTATTGATCGAGTTCTGCTTTGAATGTCAGGCTTCAATGAACTCACGTGCTTGCCGGCTTTTAGCCCTTCCGAGGATGCTGGCGTGCTCCAGGTCGAATTGATGATTCTCATCCATTCGCATCCATATGCACTGACATCAGGGAGTTCTGATCGTGGTGACGAATGGCTAGGCTGTGTTCGTGTAACCTTGTGCCAAGCTTTCTTCCAGTCTGTCCCACGTAGTCTTTGTCGAAGTGTCGGCAGCAGACCTTATAAATCAAATCAGCTTCTTCCTCTTTGCTAAGTTTATCTTTCACCTTGGAAACGTTTGCAGAGGTGTGACACATGGCGCAAAAGTATTGTTGGTAATATAGTAATATTAGAATATTCAACCCTAAGCTTGTTTGGAAATTTTGCCCCTTATATTTAGTATCAAACAATCAACCGTGTTAAATTGCCGCCCGAGAAGGACTGCAACCCCGCACCCCTTGCTACGCCTCTGATCGTGAACAAGATAACAGATGGCGAAAGCGCAGGATTCCTTAAAGCTTCCCATAATCAGGTCAAGGGGAATGCGACAAGACTTCAGGAACTATAGTAGCCTGGATACTAGTATGATCACGTTATATGTAAGAGAGCTCACACGATGTCGTTAGACCGGAAACCAGGAAAATACAACCAGCGAGACAGGAAAAACGCAAAGAACAACTCGAAACGGGAGCGCAAACAAAAATAACCTCAAACACACCCAGCAACCCAACCTTGTTTAATTGTCTCGGAGACCGCCCACTTGCAAAGCTAAACACAAGGGCAATGGTACGTCGAACGAACGGGACCAAATACAGATCACCCTCATTATATAGGGGCGATTCAATGCAGCGTTTAATGATTCTAAAAACAAGTATGAACAGAAGAAAACACCAAGTGTTGATGGAAAAACTAAATACTTAGAAAATAACCACCAAGTGCCAATGACAACATTGGCTCAGTGCCTGCCCGGCTGAATAGGTTCTATGCAATACACGGAAATCCAAAATCGACGCTCAACCCGTCTCCTTCTGCCTAGCTTGAAAACCAGCTGTGTGCACGCGGAATCGCAGACACAATAGTAAGTTGATTACACCAGTTCCATTCAAATCTAGGTTCTCCGTTGGTTACAGCTGCTTTCCTTTCGTACCCAACTAATCGTTCCATGATTGGATGATGGAGTCATCGCGTCTTGTTTTGATGTCTAAAACTTCTGTGAGCCTAGGTCATTAAACGAACATCGTCAGCTGTAGGTTAGCTAAAAATGTCCGCGCTCAACACCCCCTGAACCAAATCGTTCGGAAGAAATCAGCGATATGGATATAGCAATCATGCCTATAGAGTTGTAGCAACGTTCTGTAAATGTTTGGAAAAGCCCTAATATCTTATTAGTGAGTAGAAGGGTGATTTCTTGGGTCTTGGTGAAGTTTCGTCGCAGCTAGACTTAGGCAGACAGCCACTACACATCCAGAAAAGCGTTTTCCTGGATATGTGGTGACTGTCTGCATCAGTGTAGCTGCGAAGAATTTTCACAAATAACCCCAATATCCCCCATCTCAATGTAGACCATCACCTAAAAATTGTTTGTGTGGCGGATGGGAATAAGCTTCTAGATGCCGAAGTGAGCCAGCGCCACCCCCTCCCCCAAACAGTCAGTCAATATTGTATGGAATTGTATGGAAAAGAGTAGTAGGGGGAGTTGAATGGTATAGGTAGAAATTCTAGACTCACTCAGACAGCCGTCACACGCAAGGAAAAGCACTACGCGCGTTTCATCCTTTCGGGAATCGTCAGCAGTGCGCATTCCATCGGACCCTGGTAGGGCTCGAACCCGCAACTCGACTGTTGCCAGTCCGTGGTTAAGACCACTGAACTACGGGGGAATCCAGGCTGAGGTCTTTATCAGTAAATTGCCTCCCGATTTGTGACAAGTGAAAGCTAGTCAAGGAATAACGAACTTATGCCAGCGACGACACACCTATACGTTTCTTCATTGGTTATACAACAGTTTAACAATCCACACAGGTTTGTTTGATACAAAATATACCCAACATGCAAATTGCAGGACGACGCCACAAATACTCTCATTCGAATGCTATCACGTAAATCTCACTCGTGTCAAGGGCCATTGCAGACGAAAATAACCAACAAGGTATATATAATCCGTGCAAGATTATGAGCAAATGCATAAAACAATCTGATGGCCTATAAAACAAGCGATTATCGTTCTACCGGTAATAAACAACGTTCGAAGTGTTAGCAAATTCTGTAAAAGTGAAAAGATCGTCCAGCGTTTCCGCGGACATTTAGTAATAGCCTGATTTGCCCATGATTATGACATATTTTAATTCAACGACAAGCCAATTACACATCTGAAGGGTTCCAAGGAAGATAGTCTGAATGGGACAGTACACGCTCTTTCCTAATCTCGTACCCGTGAATTACAAGAAAGATGATGTGTGTTGTCGATACTGTCGTACCGCAAAATTTTGCAATGCAAAAACGTCCGAATCTGATGGACTTTATTCACAGAACACAATAGAGTAACGGATATATGACCTAAAACGATGCAAACTGTATGAAAGGACGTTTCCCCTTCAGTTCCTTTCAAGGTAGATATCGTTTTTAAATTACGGAATAGAAGTGCTTGTTGCCAGTGAACCAAATATATACGGCCGCAAGTCATCATGGTTGTTGAAATTGTTCTGCTCATCACCAAAAACAGATAGAATTCCGGTTAGTTACAAATCCTTTATCCTATGTCAACTCACATATACCTCGAGCACAGGTCCAAGTATCTATCGAGGCAGATAGGGGAGCACAGCCCTGCTTTTTTACACGCCATGGTTAGGAAGGTCCGCACCTCCATCTTCGAGCATCTACTTAGTACCGGAAATCATATTTGGACTGAAGACGAATTAAAAGTAATTTACACAGTATAGAAGTTCAATCCCCAAAGACTCAGAAAGCTTTCGTTGGTCACCATCGTGGCCATTGCCATCAGACTACTGCAGCCGGAGCAGAGAACAATTATATAGGTTCTCACTTTGCCCTGGTCGTGAAGAAATTCTGCTTCCATCGGACAGTGACCACGGACGAAGGTGACAACCGTGGCCCCGTCACGCTTTGCGAGTTCTCTAATGAGGTCTAATAGTTGACGGCATCGGCAGAGTTATCGAACATGTTTATTGCCCAAACCATCCGCAGATCCAGCCTTAGCTGCTTGCCACTTTTGGCATAGTCTTGCATTGCATTTGCTTGAAATGAATTGTCGAAAAGAGTACTCTTCGCAATCGCTATGCTTCCAATCTCTATTAAGTGAACAGTTGGGTCTGATAAGAGTTTGCGCGAAAAGAATATCTAAGCCTGCACTCATTTCTGGTCAGAATTTTCGCTAATGAAATGAGGATAGATATTTTACTTAAGATCAGATTCGCCCGTGATTCACCCAACCTAGTCAGTAAACGAAACAAGCGCAGACAAGCCCGACAAAGCATACTGGAATGAAAATCAAGCAAATGAGTCACTCAGATATGATATCAATGCGAAGACGATGCACAACGCACTCCCCGAGAGCCTCAGCCTGCGGACATAAGTATGAGTGGCACATCGAATTCTAATCAAAAGGATTTCGCAGTTCTCTCAAGCCATCTAGAGTGCGAAACACACAACTAACATTGGCAGTGGTAACAGGGTACTCAGGCAAAGGAGATGAAACATATCGATAATCGGTAGGATTAGGGGTAAAAAAACACTTTAGAAGATCGACACTTACATTGACTTTAATTCAAACAACTGCGTGCCACGAACAGTCCGGGCCAGTAGGCAAAACAATTCGTAGTTGTTAGAGCTGAGTACCGAAAACAAGCAAAGTAAAGAAACCGAATGGAACATCAAAAGGAGCATGAAAAGTAAAATCGTAAAACTATGATACTTCAGTTGATGCTGTGAGTGGTTGTGTTCAGCAACATGGATAAGTGCCAGGAGGCTAGTGATAGTTCAGGGCTATTGTCAGCGTTTGTATGGGATCGCAGTAAAAGTGACCAGAGAACTCCAGTCGGACTCTAAATAATGGCAAGCAGGAAAGTGGCAAACTCAAGTGATTGGGCGAGCTAGTTAGATTAGCTGCATTACATTCTGGAAGGCGACACGGACCAAAACGTCTCAGTCTAGTATTGGATACATTTCCCGTAAAAATAATGCATCAAAGACGGACTCCCTCAATGCTTACAACATTCAAGATTCGGTAGATAAAACAAGGGCATCTTCGGTAACGGGTGGGCACGCTTGATTCAATGCAGCCTGTTCAGTATTAAGTGTTGACCACTAGAAATAATTTGATCATCGACGCATGGATGTTACGGAAATCTAGTGACATTCGACAAGATAGAAAATCTATAGGCAATGGTGGGCGGACACCAGAAAGCGCTGGAGGTGTGTGGACCAAAGTGTCCAAAGCTAACAGAAGTGGAGGAGAACGACACTCAGTGTGATCCTGTGGACATAACAGTCTAAGCTTCAAGTGACATGTTCCGCATATGTACGAAGGTGATTCTAGCGTTCGTAATACGCCAGTCAGAGCAAAACAACTGATAAGAGAAGCACATCGATCAAATACCCACAACTGCTCGTTGAGAAGAAACAAAGAGAAGGTAAGACATTGATGGTCCGCAATAACAACTTGCAAGTTGAAGATGCCAACAGATGTAGGTATGGCAGAATCGTCACGACTCTCGAGTGTTAAACAACCAGGCGAATTTTTATAGATAATCCAAACCAACAAAGTCCTACAGCAGTGACTCAATGCCAGCACAAAGAAATTTTGTGAAGGAATATTGTGTGGTGTCGTATACAACAAAACTGAATTAAAATAGAAAAAAGAGGTAGTCTTGAAGAAGTGTTCGCTGAGCTCGGAAGCTTTTCTGCGAACGTTTCACTACCACTCGAGGTGACATTCTTAGCGAGCTTCGTATTGCGCCGCTCCACTCCTCTAACCACTAGCGTACTGATAATGTCACTTCGAGTGGCAATGAAACGTTTGCAGCAAAACTGCTGATATCAGCGAACACTTCGACCAACTGAACAAACTCAGCTATCAATATTTGCTTCTATATCAAAGCCAATTGTAGTATGTAGTGCTTCTGAGAATTCGCCATATACCCAGACCCGACTCAATATATTAAAGCATGAAATACGGAGAATGCTCACATAGTTCGTGGGAGTACTTTCTAGGTTAAGTAGGTCGAACAGAATGGATCAACCCACTTGTTCGAACAGGTTCCTAAAACTGAACACCCTTGGGATCAACCTGTGTTACGTGTGACCCAGCTCTAATATATGGTACAGTATAAAAAGCCGGACTAAGAAACCCCACCCAAGGTGGAAACACGTCTGTTCCTCTTATATACCCGATTCCGGTTCCACAGTAGGGTGACAGAGGAGGATGGAGTCTAGTAACCTTGTTATAGTCAGGGTCAGACCGATGCCCTGCAGTCAGCACAGAAAATGCAACTGATTTTCATGAATTTGTCACGGTGGTCGATTCCCTGTTTACATACTAGACTGAAGGTTGGTCAATTCCATGCATTTAAAATCTGCAAACGGAGAAAGCACGGGAGAATCCGGGTCGACCGCGCTGAATTAAATGGAAGATACGATCACGCTTTGAGCCTCAGATCCATATGGAGCTCCGAAAATGTTCGGTAGTGGTTCAGCATGCGACAGCTGAGTACAAAGAGGCTCAGGGCAGGAGCGTCAACGGAGCAGTTTCTAGAAGTGCTCCGTCTAGTCATCTAAACGATATTCCCCACTGTGAATGATGGCGTCGCTAATAGCCTTGATTAGCTCAAACACTAATAATATCTCGAACACAGTGCGTGGACGAGATGGAGCAACCAGTGGAGGCAATCTGCACACACTACAGATTGGGTCCTCTGAACTCGTCACGTTTTTCTGTAAGCTCACAGGCTATCTTTAAGGTGGCGCCTGATATCTCGTTCAGTTGCATTATGCTAGACACCAGAATGGATTCTTTTTCTAAAACCCTGTGGGTTCACTGACATCCGGAGTATTCCGCACTCGCTGCGGTAATGACTGCGTAGGACAAGATGTTTATGTGCCATGCAGAGTATGAGAAATGTCTTATACCCGTAGCTCAACATTCCAAGAGAATAAAGTTTAGTAATAAGTTATCTTTGTAGCCCTACATAATTGCTGGATGAAACAACTTTCCTGTCACAAGTAAGGGGAAATTGCTCCGCATCACTCGAGGGTCACTTAATATGAGACTTACTCATAGGCTTCAAGGCTGCTCCATTTCGAGGCCAAATGCATCGCCCCTCATGTACGATAAAGCGCTACTTGGTAATCGATATTCTTGAATATGCATAACAATGTTTACTTATGGCTCATGCGATGTCGCCAGGGTGCCAAGAACTGTTCCACAGTAGAACGCTGGCACACGATAGTGACCTGCTTCGTAAGACCTATCAACTGAGGAATAAATCCGGTGCTCAAGTTTCATTGCACGCCTGGTTTGTAACACATTAGTGACACGCTTGTCCCCACTGTTAGGGTGCCTAGTGGATTCCAGGTTACTGTGATCACAAACGGCCTAGCCTATATTCGATTCTTCCGGCGGAGTCAGCAACAGACGCGAAAATATCCAGCAAAACGAATGGAAAGAGGTGATCAGTAACGAAGATTCGTGTACTCCAGGATTCAACGAATTGTCGCAGTAGTTATGAGGACACATAGGACAGATGGTGGACCCCGGTGAACTCGTCATGG